CCTTCTTCCTGGACCGGGCCCTTAAATAACCTCTCTGACCTCAGCAGCCCGGTCCAATCGAAGCTGCCAGTGCTGGCCACTAGCCAACCAATTTAAAAAGCATCACTGGTCACCTGTGCCCGTGAGCGGGGTTTTTCCCCCCCCCATCCCCAGGGGACCAGAGAATCCACATCCGAGGCACCGGGCTTTTGTCATGTCGGCAGGGAGGGAGATCCCCCTCCCTGAGGGATGCAACAGCAGCCTCTCACGCTGGCAGAGACAGATCTCTGGAGAGGGGCACAGACGGTGGCATTTCTGCCACACTGGGTAACATGGGGCCTCTGCAAGACACGCTAGGAAATCTGGTTGTCACACCAGACAACAAAGCTAACCTATTTAACAATTTCTTTGCCTCCATTTTCCTGAGCTGGGACCCCCTCAGGCCCCAGGGGAGGTGCATGCAGACCTAGGGTCAGTGAGGATCTAGCCAGGGAACTTCTGGAGGGAGTGGACGTATTTAAACCAGCTGGTCCTGACGACCTCCACCCCAGAGCGCTGAGGGAATGAACAGAGGTCATGGCGGGACCCCTGGAACGGCTTCACAAGCACTCGTGGTGCTCTGGTGTGGAGCCAGTGGACTGGAAAAGGGCCAATGTGGTTCCCATTTTCAAAAAAGGGAGGAAGGAGGACCCAGGAAATTATAAGCCAGTCAGTCTTACCTCGATCCTGGGTAAGCTTCTTGAGAGAATTATCCTGGCACATGTCCACGAGGGGACAGCAGGGGAGGTTATGCTCAGGGGCAACCAGCACGGGTTCATTAGAGGCAGGTCCTGTCAGACCAACCTGGTGGCCTTCTACGACCAGGTCACAAAATATGGGAAACTCCCTTCTTGAGAGCACGGAGGCAGAAAGGGATCTTGGAGTCATCATTGATTCCAAGATGAACATGGGCCGACAATGCGAGGTCACAGTCAGCAGGGCTAACCGGACCTTATCGTGCATCCACAGGTGCATCTCAAGTAGGGCCAAGGAGGTGATCCTCCCCCTCTATGTGACACTGGTGAGGCCACAGCTGGAGTACTGTGTCCAGTTCTGGGCACCGCACTTCAAGAGGGATGTGGATAACATTGAGAGGGTCCAGAGGAGGGCCACCCACATGATCCGGAGACAGCAGGGCAGACCCCACAATGAGAGGCTACGGGACCTGAACCTGTTCAGCCTTCACAAGAGAAGGCTGAGGGGGGACCTGGTGACCATCTATAAACTCACTAGGGGGGACCAGAAGGACTTGGGGGAGACCTTGTTTACCCTAGCGCCCCCCGGGATAACAGGGAATAACGGCCACAAGTTGTTGGAGAGTAGGTTTAGAGTAGACATCCGTAGGAACTACTTCACAGTCAGGGCGGCTAGGATCTGGAACCAACTTCCAAGGGAAGTAGTGCTGGCTCCTACCCTGGGGGTCTTTAAGAAGCGGCTCGATGCCTACCTACCTGGCTGGGGTCATTTGAGCCCAGTTTTCCTCCTGCCCAGGCAGGGGGTCAGACTTGAAGATCTACAAGGTCCCTTCCGACCCTACTTCTATGATTCTATGATCTGTCAAGGTCCCTTCCGACCCTACCAACTGTGAAACTATGAAAAAGTTCGAGTGGCCAAAATCTGGAACGGGCTCCCAAGGGAGGTGGTGCTCTCCCCTCCCCTGGGGGTCTTCAAGAGGAGGTTGGATAAGCATCTAGCTGGGGTCATCTAGACCCTGCCCTCTTTCCTGTCTATGCAGGGGGTCGGACTCGATGATCTATTGAGGTCCCTTCCGACCCTAACATCTATGAATCTATGAAACCTGCTTCTTCAGCTCTTCTCTTATCTCAGATCCTGTCCTCATTTATCTTTTCTTTACTCTTTACTTCTTTACTTCTTTTCTTAGATCAGTTTCTCTGTTCTTTCGGGTGCTCTCATTCGTTACCATTTCCTATCAGATCGTTCAGTGGTTAGCATCAGCTTCATGCCTTGGATCGGATGGTGGGGATAGGGACTGGGGCTGTCCGCTCTGAGGTGCACGTGCAGTCGCTGCCAGCACGGACCTGATGCTGGGGCCATGGAGCTGCCCAGAGCCACGGCCAGCACGGAGCTGATGCTGGGGCCGTGGAGCTGCCCAGAGCCGACGCTGGCTACAAACAGCTGCGCCGGGCCCTGCAGCCGAGTCATCAGCTCTGTGCCAGCAGCTGGGGAGAGGCCGGGGTTGCGCTGCCTCAGGGGCCTCCCCCACCATCCACTACAAGCCTCGTGTGCACCTGCTGGTATGGAGCTGATGCCAGAGCCCAGAGCAGATGTTTGCAGCCTCCTGGCTGCAGCCAGCCCAGGCTCTGGGTAGCTGCTGCCAGCCACGGAGCCCAGTCTGCTTGCTGCAGGGCTTGCAGCTGCCCAGCTGCCTGCCGGGAGAGGCCTGGGCTTTGTGGCTGGCACCAGTTGCCTAGAGCCCAGGCTGGCAGTGGTGTGCTGAGCAAAATGGCCTCGTATGTCATGCTTGGCACACGTGCCAGGGGTTGCTGACCCCTGGACTAGAGCATGAGCTGGATGTTTCCTTTTTGTAAACGGCTCTGACGGTCTGTTGCTCTGTCAAGAGTCCCTGGGTGAAACCCTTTGATTCCCGGTGAAAGTGGTTGTTCATCCTTTGTGGGGAGGCAGCAAGGACAAATACAATGGAAACAACATGGGAAGCTTGTTAATCTACTACCTAATAATTGGAAACACAGAGCACTTCTAGGTGAGCCTGCTGTAACCCAAAAGATTTCCAGCATAAAACTCTCCTGTTGGGCTAAGAATTGCCTAAAAACTGGTTTGGAGAAAATAAAAGTTGCAAATGCTTTCACTTTTTAGCCCTAATTTACCTCCAATCCCAGTTTGTGTGGTCAACATCTGGAGGTGGAAAACACCTCCATGAAGGTTAGTGGAGTTCCTGCGCCACCATCGGTGCCACGCGGCTGCCCCAAGGGAGGGAGGAGGCTTGTGGGTAAATAAGAGCATGGCCCAGCTTGAGCGGCCTCGTGGTGAAGAAGGCCAAAGGCCCAAGACCAGGTCCAGGAAAAGCAGTGTCTAACTTGCATGGGACGTCCTCTGTGTGAGCCCGAGCAAGGAGCCAGCACAGGGGAGAAGAAGGGAGAGAAAAGGGGGAGTGAAAGCCATTGCAAACCCCAGGCAGCCTCCCACCCCTAGCCCCAGCCCCAGCCGGACTCTGGGCAAAGGGCACCCAGAGGCACTTGGCCCTGAGCCCCAGCCCTGGGATGCTGGCACTGCAGAGGGTGGTGGCACCAAAGCCGGTGGCATCCCCAAGGGCCCATTCTGGTGGCCGTGCTCGAGTCCTCCAGGGCCACCGAGTGCCAGGACAGACCGGTCTGGTGCTGCCTGCTGCAACGGGATGGGCTTGTGGGTGCAAACAGCACCTTGCACCTGGGCAGCTCCCCGGGGCAGAGAGGAGGGGACAGGGGCGGGTAGAGGGGACTCCTCCGGGGTCATAGAGAATGGGAAGCCAGAGCGGCCCGTTTCCCCACGTGGGGGGTCCATTCCCCGGCTGTTCCCCCATCACTCAATGGCACAGTCTCAGCTCGGACCCAGGCCCCGACGCCCAGAGCGAGAACCAGGGCCGGATTCTGTCCCCAGCGAAGGAGGCCGGCGGGAAGGTGAAGATCGGGGCCTCGGTGTCAGCATCGAGAAACGACACCTGCCCCCCCGCACAGTCCAGACAGACCCGCACCCTCCTGGGCACCCGGCGCAGGGACAGGCGGGTGGGAGCAGGGGCCGTGAGAGCCTGGACCTGATCCCCACAGCGCTGCACTGCCCAGATCCCCTCCTCGGGGCTCAATCTGACCCATCCCTTCTTCCTCACAGACTCTCTGGTGACCCCCACTGCCCAGTCTCCCCGCCACATCTCCACCTCCACCTCCACCTCCCAGCAGTGTCTCCCCAAGGTGAATCCCTCCCGGCCCAGCACACACTGGTTCACATCAAATCTCTCAGGATTGTCAGGCACAGGCTGCCGTGTGTCTGTCCATCTCACACTTCTCCGATCCGCAGAAAGGACAAGGTAGGGATTTGCCGTGTCTGGATCCAGAGTCACCATCGCTGGCAGAAGGAATCGCAGCGTCAGGGCAGAGCTCAGCCCGGGGCAGACGGGGCCGTTCCTCGCCCTCCCCAGCAGCCCCGTCCTGCCTCCGACTGTTCTGGGCCCCCAGAGCTGCCTCTGCCCTGGGCCCAGGGGCTGAGCAGCGACGGCCCCGCAGCTCCTCAGCCGGGCACAGGGAGAGCCCCTGCCCTGGGGAAAGGGAGGACACAATTCATAGGCAAGGACAGGAAAATCCCAGCCCAGTGCCCCAGGCCCCAGCACAGGGGGGTTGGTGCTGGGCTGGGAGAAGGTTTGCCTCTTGTCCAGGGGCGGCCGTGGGCTCTGCGGGATCACTGTGTTAAACTCCACAGCTCCCCAGTGCTTACCCTTTGTGTATGATCCCTTTGGTACCCTTTTGACCTTCTCCAAGGTGGACGCCAGAGTCTCTGCAGGGGAAAGGGGCACAGATATCAGACTTGTGGTGTCTGGTTCATGCTCCTGGCTTAGACCTGCCTTGGTCCTGAGCCCCTGAGATGGAGCAGACACACCGGGGAAGCTCCTCCCCTGCTGCTGGGACTGTGGCTGCAGAAGCTGCCTCTACATCTCCCTGCTCCCCTGCAGCACGGCCTCCTCCCCCAGGACCGGGCGGGAGGGAGCTGCAGGTGCGGGCACAGGAGTAAGGGGAGAAAATATAACAGCCACGGCTCCAGGGGAGCTCAGTGCCCAGCCCGTCCTGCCCCCTTAGACACTGGGGTGAGGGACTGAGTGACAGAAAAGGACAAGCAGCGGGGGTGGAGGGGGAGCCTGTGGGAAGAGGATAAGCTTCACAGCTCTCTTGTTCACTGGCTGAGGAAACAGGTAAGAGCTTGCACTGGCTGGGGAAGTCCAGGGGTCCAGACAGAGTGGCCCTCTGCTCCAGCGGCCCCTGTGGGGGTGCAGGATACCAGAGGTGCAGCTTCACCCGGGCCGCCCCCCACCTGCCTGCTCTGCTCCCTCCCTGCTCCTCTCCTGCCCCTTGGGAGCCTTCCCCCTGCACTCCCTGGGGTCAAGCCAGCAGGCTCCAAACCTGACAGCCTGCCTCATATTTAATTTCAGCTCTCAACTTTGGTGGCCTGACATGAGGCACTGGGGGCTCGCTCTGAGTGGGGCAGGGCCCGCAGCTCCCACCACCCCAGCTGCAGGTGCCCATGCTGAGCAGCGCTGGAGCCGCAGGGGCCCTGTGGCTCTGCACCCGGGACAAAGGGGTGCCCAGAGGAGCCCTGGTTCATCAGCGATTCATGCAAAGGCAGAGAGAGGCCCTGGCCTCGTGTCTTCATTCCTGTTACCTGCGATATCAGTCCAGCACGTTTAGTTCATCTCCCAATTAAAAAAGATGCTGCCTCCAAATTCAAACCAACTGCTTGTCTCTTCTTCCTCAACAAGGACAACTCCCTCTTCCCTTTCGCAGCCCCCTTCTCAGTACCTTGAAACTTCTTCAAAGTCTCCTGTAGAGCTAGCGTTTGTCCAGACAAGATGCTGAGTCTTGTTTCCAGCTCTGGGTAAATCCCCTCTGGCAGCTGGAACTGCTCCTTCTTGCACCTGGGAAAAACTAGTCCATGTTATTTGATTTTCTTTTTGCAGCTCAGCTACATGGTAGAAACATTGGGTGGATGGAGGGACCTAGATACTGACTCTGGCCACGTGCCTCAGCCACAGGGGCAGGGGCAGCACAGACAGTGGCAGTCACAGGCGATGCATAGGAGGAGCACGGGGAGGGGGGAACGTGCCCCACATGACAGGGCCGGTGGTGCTGAGAGAGCTCGCCAGCTCTGGCCCCACAGCCGATGCCACCCACTTGACTCGGGAGGCACCAGTTGCCCACGGTGGCAGTGGCAGCTCCCCCAGAAGGGACCGATCCCCATCAGGGATGTTTTCTTCAGCTCCAAAATGTCCAGGACATTTCCTGGGATCAGAAAGGAGCAGAGACTTCACGGGTAGTTGGCTCAAGCTCTGGTGGCCAGGACTATTCCCCGGGGACAAGAGGGGGAAGGCCCAGATTACACCTTGCAGTCTTCAGGCTGCCAGTGCCCAAAGCCGACACTTCCCCGAGGAGAAGAGGGGGACGTTCATGCTTCCCACCTCAGGGACAGTCCCAGCGCTTGCTGTGCTGTGGTGCCCTGCAGGGATGTGCCCATTGCATTTTCCCCAGGACCCTTCCCCCTATGGGGAGTCAGGTGGAGCCACGTACCTGCTCAGCCTGCTCCTCATGCCCTAAAGGGAGAGACAAAGATGGAAAAGTGAGCTCAGTGCAATGCCCCACACCGGGGACCCCCTGCCCGAGGGGACGCACTTTGTCCTCAGACTTGGAGTGCTGCACACAGGATCTGGGGAAAATTCATCCCCTTTACAAGCCCTGATTTTGTGACCCCCCAAGAGGTGTAATAGGGCAACCATGCACCTTGGGCAGTGGACATGCGCAGGGCAGCAGCAGCTGGGGCTGATATTCTGCATCTCCCATCACTGCCACCACGTGCCTGTCAGGGGCCGTTGCCCTTGTCGCCCCCCCTCAGTTATGCACCTGGTCCCAGCAGACCCAAGGTTTAGCCCTTTCCCTCCCCTGCACTGGGACTGGAGACATGTCATGTGCCTCACCGGCAGGAGGTCACTGGCGGCCTGCTGGCACTTCCCCTCCAGCTCCCTGATCAGGCTGCTGAGACGGGAAATCTCCTCGGAGAGGTGGGTGACAGTCTCCCCCTGACTCTTCTCAATCCTGCTCTCCACCTCTCCCAGCTCGGCCAGCACGAGTCGCTCTTGTTCCTCCAGAAACCGGCGCAGTCGCTCAAACGCAGACACAATCTTCTGGCCCTCCGC